ATGACCTTGAATCCTGCTGGAGATGAATCCCTTTGAGCCTCCACTCTGTCCTTTTCCTGGAGAACTCTGTCATGAAGAAAGACAATGACCTTCTCCCATCGCCTTCTCATGTAAAATATCCACTTTTCCCTGCTCCCAACCTTTTCATGTCTTTTGATATTTCATGTTTTCACTGTAGGTTTTGAAGTACATTTCCTTCCTTGTACTTCAGTACTCAAAGTGTCTTTTTATTTCCTGTCTGACAAGTTTCAACGCCTTACGCTGCTCTCAACTATCCTTTAGTCCGCCTCTATTCTTAAAGGTGTATTTTTGTATGTATTATTATACACACACACACACATATATATAGATAGATAGATAGATATAGAGGTTTGTGTGTCTTTGACTTAACATGAACGGGGCTGGAGTGGATCCTGAGAACTGGCAGGTGCATTATTGCATCAGACTGACTGGCTTGACGTGTGTTGCTAATCTCCCAGTGATATGACAAAGCTGTGTGTGACTCTGGGCTGGTTCTCATCTGTCTGTTGTGACACACACACACACACCATCAGGTTCCATTGTGTTCCATTTGCGAGGGTGTGATGTATTTAATATCCCTTCAAAATATAGAGTTAACTTTTAACTTTTGTTCTGTACCAGTGTTTGTCTGCTGCGTACCAACAAATCAAAGATGTGAGACAAAGGATTACTGGACAAAATGGATTTTTGTCCTCATTGTTTTTTTGTTTTTTTTAGATTTTTCTTAATCCTGAAAAAAATAATCTAAATGTTAGCCAGTTTTTTTTAGATTTTTCTTTATCCTGAAAAAAAAATCTAAATGTTAGCCAAAATAATGTTTGTCAGTTGATTCACTCTGTAAGTAAATGTCCTTATCACATTAAAAATTTCATCTGGACAATTGTTGTTGTTTACAAAACAAAAACAATCCTCTATGAGAAATGAAGATCTGGTTTTGGCGCCTCATTCCAAAAGGTTTCCATGAGGTACAGTAACTAGATTTTTGTACCCAGACCGTGATGAATACCACACACACACACACACACACACACACACACCATATTCCCCTCTTGACCTTTCAAGTATTTCTCCTCTCAACCCTCTCTCTGTAAATGAGCACTCCTATGAGCTCTGGCAGATTTCTAAAATACGTCACTAACTGCACGTGTGCTGTGTGAACTCAGCTTTGGAGATTCACGCAGTCACAGCTTTAAAAACTCTGTCGGCGTATTCAAGTGTGTTTTCATCTGCGAGTCGGTTGTTGATTTTATTTCATTTTATTATTTTAAACTGAACTCTTGAAGTTTACCTTTTATCTCACTTTCGTTTATAAATCTTTGATTGTCCCTTTAAAGCAAATACAGCACGGGTGTCCAATAGTTATTTGATTTACGTATAATTTAAACTTAAACTAAAAAAAAAAGTGAACAATATTTTATATTTTGTTTGAATTGTTTACATCCAGACTTTTATACATGTGATGAAATGCCATTAATGTTTTATTTAAATAGTTGGACAAATATTCAGAGAAACAAACAGTGGAAACAGGAAATAATTTTTTTTAGCCGTTTTGCTGAGCATTTCTATCTTGTGATATTGTCTAAAGTATGTACGCGTGACCCACGATGATTTTTGAGAGTGTGATACGACACAGACGGATACGTTCGATCAGATTAGACTCAGGCATTTATTTGTGTTCCGTGTGTTACACTTTAAATTGTGAATCTGCAGCAAACGACACACACACACACACACACACACAACGAGGGCATTTACATACGGGAACTGAGTCGGTGCATCGGACCACTCTGACATTTTACACAGTGACATCAGAGGAGGGGAGAGTTTGCATCTTGGCGTTCAGCCGCTTTGTCAGAGAAGTGTGCAAACGCCAGAAGAAAACAAAGAGCAGTTAAAATATATATATATATATATATATTTAATTATATAAATACTGAGCAGATTTCTCTTGGAGGGACAAGAATTCATCCTTTCTATTGTTGCTTCTTGACCTGTCAAGAGGTGTCTGTTCAAATCTTCAATCATAAAATATGAAGTCTCCTTTTGGTGTTCAAAAAAAAAAAGTGTGTTTTTACACTTTGCTCCTCCGTCTCCTCCAGCCTCGCCCCAGAGACCTAATGCATCATTTGAGGCTCATACAATTCACTGCTTCCCAAGCCACTGACTCCTACCAGCCTGATAGAGGCATTTTGCGCCACTCAGAGACACGCGCTGTGTGTCTGATCCCTTCCTCCTTAATATGTCCTCTATTACCGTCAGGCATTTATGCCTGTTTTTTCTACGTCACTGAGCACTGAGCACCGGCTTCATTAAAACTAATTGAATCGGAAACATGTCTGCTCCAGGAAACATTAACTCTTTCTATCAAGGAAATTTCCGATTTCATTCTGTCAATAAGGTCAAAGGACTAAGCCTGTGTGTTCAATACTGATACAGGCAATGTCCATAAATGTAAAGTGTGTTGGCTGCTCAAGTCTATCAACGCTGGATTTGAACTCCTGGGGATTGTGTTCGTCATATTATTGTCATATGTTACAAAACCTGTTCACGGAGAGAGACGGTATAAACTTTGTACAAATTCAACCAAAAACATTGAGTAAACATGGACACATTTAGAAATTCATGTCTTAAATACACTATAAAATTTTCAAATCAAGAGGAGGATAGAAAATTGAGCGTCCACTGAAGGCTCAGTGTTGCAGACAGATCTGGGTCATAGTTCATTAGTTAAAGCCCAAAAAATCTGTTTTTTTTTACTGTGAAAATGAATTATTATTAATAATAATTATATCAATATTTAAAGTATGCCATTTAAACAGCAATGGATTTATTTTTTATTTTTTCTAATATAATTTACAGCTGTTGGCCACACAGTGGAAGATGTGGTTATCACACATGCCTTACAGCAAGAAAATCACAGGTTTGCTGGTCAAACTACTGTCTTTCTGTATGGAGTTTGGAAGTTTTAGATTAAATTATATTAGTTTTAGATTAATTATTTATGCAAAAACGACCCTAAGTGTAAATAGTGTGAATGGTTGTTTTTGTTGTGATGGACAGGTCAACTGTCCAGGGTGTATCCCTCCCTCACCTGTTGACCACAGATTGACTCCACCCCCCTTCACTTCCACCCCTACAATAAAGGAACAATTTTGTGCAGAAACTTAGAGAACCTGTTCAGACAAGGCCGTTTTGGGTTTTATTGAATCACTTGTTGTGAGTTATATTTAATTTTGGAAACCAGTTCAAGTGACCGAAAGAAAAAACGATATTCAGATGGCATCTGTTAGCGATCACTGAGCCAGAGCGTGCGGCGACCACACAGCTGTTTGGTTTGAAGCAAATATTTATGAGTGATCTGACGGGGAATCAAGTTCAGTCAGTCTTCTTTGAAAGGATCCGTACGAATGATTAACCTCATTTTACTGCTGCTGTCTCCACTGGTAATGGCCATTAGAGCCAAGAAGGAGTGAGGCCTTTGATTTTTGGCTCCTCATCATTCACAGCTTGTCGCATCCCTTCATCCTTCATACATGGCTGCTGAATTGATTGTCTGTTTAGTCCTATGAATGATAAAGCTGCTCTGGGCCACAGGCTGAGAGGGACAGACGCGGCTCACTTCCATCTATATGCAAGGTGGATTTCTTTTTTTCCTGCCCTGCCACTCGGAAATCAGCTTTTTGCATTATTTATTGGACAATCGCCACCATTTCAATATGGTAAATCAAATAGTCACAGTCGTATAACCGTAGACAGTTGCATGCGAGGGGCCGTCGTTCTGCTCATTATTCATTCATTCTGTTTAGCCACGTAGTCGGAGGGACTCATAAGTTGTGTAATCAACATGTTATACTGCAGCCTCACACACAACAACAACAGCCTGACTTGGAGTGAGGGGCAGCGACAGGAGTCGAACTGTGAGGAGGCAGAGAGAGTGTGTGTGTGTGTGTGTGTGTGTGTGAGGGTTTAGGGTTTTGTGCAGAGTAACTTACAGTAGATAAAGGCAGGCGTCAGAGAGCAGACTTTAAAGACAAATGTGTTATTAATTGTGGACATAATTGAACAGTTGATCATAAAACCATTCTCCAACATTTTTTTTTCTTTTTTCCCCCCCAAAACTATTCAATTTGTACGGTTTTAACCATTGAGTGTGTAGTACCACAACACCTCTGCAGGGGCTGCTACAACAGCAGCTGCAAAATTCTATTTGATCAGCTGGTGAAACTCAATTGTTTACATTTAGGTCTGGTTTTGGGCCATCGACCTCAAGGCAGGTGTGTCCAAGATTGCAGCCAATCACAGAAGACGTGAGGGCTGGGCTCCCATGATTCTGTGGATTTGTACAATTATAAACATCATGTGACAAAACATTTGTCACAACATGACTTTACATTGCTGAGGTTGCATTACTGCCACCTAGGGGGAAAAAAAACTTCAAACCTCTGTAATTGTTCTGATCTCCATATGGGTGTGTAACAAAGAGATTTATGTTGTGTGTGTGTGAAAAACCCTCAAAGAAGAGTTTGAGGAAAAAGGTGAAAAAAATGTTTTGTTTTGTTTTTTTGCATTTTTTATCATTTTATCATTTAAATAATATTTCCGTCATAATTCTTTGTTAGTGTTAGAGGACATGTTTTAATACTTAATATTGGGGTCATATATCGGCTGTTTGCTGACCCTAACGTCTAAGGATCGCCATCAGCCACTGAGAAATCCAAATCAGTAAAAACTCACATCTAAGGAAGAGCATTGAAGCAGTAAATGTCAGTGGAAGAAAAATCCTTCCAATCAGACTTTGAAGGTGGGCAGATTCAAATTTTAGAAAAACAACATTCACCAATTCCATAGACAACAGATGATTCCCTGTAAATCCTGTCCTCCATGTGTTTCTTTTGATAATATAAAAAGTATGATGTGCTGCGTTCTTGTATATAAATATTCTCCCAACATATTCTAATCAAGTTGTCTCCTCTCTGCAGCTGCAGGTGTGGCATCAGTTCCAGCAACTGTATGGAGTCCTTTCAGGAATATGGCCAGGTCTTAGTGCGAAGGTAAAAAAAAAATTTTTTTACTACTGTTTTCTTTATCGCTAAGAAAATGTCCTCATTTGAAAATAAGTCTAGGGTCAGATTCTGTTTTGTCAAAACAAGACCAACTGGTGCATGAAGGTAAACTGCAACATATTTATTCAGATCCCGAAAAAAAAATTCATTTGGGTTTAAATAACAATGCCATTAAATTAATTCCATCTTGTTAACTCCACATCATGCAGTCTGTTAGAGCACAAGGAAAACTGAGGAGACTTGAATTTCGCAGCACTCTGGTTCTGTTGTATACACTAGGCATCAGGAGCTCCACTACTGTGGACTGGGAGTGGGTGGCCGTTTGTTTTTCACTCTAAAGGTCACGGATTCAAATTCAGCTTTGTTCCTCACTGTGTACCCCAACCCTGTTAAACGTGGAGGGCTGTGCTAAGAAACTGTATCCAGGGTAATTACTGTGGCAAAACTGTGCCCAAACACACAGATATATAAACTGATACTTTAACAGGTTTCTCCCAAACAGACAGTACGTGGCGTATACTGCATACTTCACAAAGACAAAAGAAAAATCTTGTATTTTTATATTTGCTCTGTATAACCAGGCGCTACCATGATTGGCCCTCAGGCCAGACTTTGGACACACACGTTCCAGTGCTGTAGTTTTGCCTCCCACTTAAGTATCTCATCTTCCCGTGTACGGTCGGTCACTCCTGCTGATGCTCGCATCTTCAAATGCACCCGCAGCAGCACTGCCTCAGATCGGCCTGTAACACCTCAGCAGCATCGGTGCCACATGTGAACCTGTCAGATTGCATCACAGAATTAGCCAAAAGTGCAACAGTGTGCAGCTGTGCATGCAACATAATCCCTGACAGTCACAGTGTGCAGCGTGCCTCTAATAGCGGCAGCCCACTGTGGATGTGAAGAAGTGCTTTCTGATGCTACAGGACTCGGTCGTCATAATTTCATGCCTTTTCTCACTTTGTGCACGAAGCACTTAGCGACACACGCGTCGGACTCTGCTCTCAGACAAAGAGCCGAAGCCTTCACCTGTTTGCTCTGTGATTCTCTGACCAGCAGCTGAGAAGATGATGAAGATGAGAGGACAGAGAACGATGCTTGTTCTTTCCCCTGGCCCTTTTAATGCTGACACTTTCCACTCATGTCAAGTGTGGGATGGTAATGAAATCACAGGCTCCAAATGACTTCAGACTCCAATTATATATATATATATATATATATATATATATATATATATTACTGAACACAAAAAAAAAATTTTTTTGTGTGAAAATACACTGAGGGTATATTTTT